ACCTCCAGCAATGCATCACAATGTAAAGGAGGGATCTTGTCTTCCAGCATCCCTACACCTCCCCCACTGGAAAACCTTCACAGGAAATCTAACAGCTACTCCAGGGCTGGCGAATTCAAGCCCAATTGTGGTTCTGGGCTGCCCACGAGGGTGCCCAGTCTCCACCACTCACCACAGCTTCCTCGTGCCTGGGCACGCTGGAGGTGAGAGTGGAGCCCTTCAGGAGGCCAGAGGGAGCTTGCACAGTATCTTGGGAGGCACACCTGGCAGCAGGCCCATGATGAAGTACCTCCTAAGGCCAGCTTCCTGCCCAGGTCTTTGTCCCTCTCTCCACTCAGACCTCAGGCTCAGGGTTGGGGTAAGACTGAGAAAAACTGGATAGATTATGTATACTGAATTGAAACAGATGAGGGAAAGAACCGTTTAAAAGTGATATATGATAGCATATTATGATTATCACAGGAATCCAGAATTAAGGTTGCATAGCGGAGTGCATTGGAGGTGGGGGGGTGGTCGGGGTCAGGGTCGGGGGTATTGCATACCAACTAAGAAGTTTATCTTTTGCTTTTCAAAGAGAGGAACGAACTGGGGGGAGTGGGGGTAAAGAAAAAAGTGCAACAATGAATGAATGAAAATCCAAAAATCTCTGTCAATGTTAATTAAAATTAATAAAATAAATTATTTTTAAAGTTTTGCTTGGTGGATGATTGACGGAAAAGCTGACTTATAACTGCTCTGAGATAAAGTTTTTCTAGATAATCAAGGAAACCAGAGATTTCTTGCATTTGTCTGTTGAATTGAACCTGGACTTTCACTAATTAAGGAATTGTAAGTGAATCTGGCTTTGGACTGCTTTTTTTTTGCTGGAGCAAACCGGGACTTGTACTGATGATATCCTTTATCTCCCTCACTGCCCAACCTATTTCCCTGATAGTCCCCACAACTGTGAGTTCTGTGAGATTTTCAATGAACATCAGCCCCGATGATCGGCAGAAATAGGTGCATGAGCACGGTGGTGGTGGTGGTGGTGGTGGTATTTCTGATCATGTAGTTATTTGGTGGGTTTAAAAAATTTTTTTCTTATTATTATTAATTTTAATGACAATTTGCAGAGACTTTGGATTTCTATTCATTCATTGTTGCATTTTTCTCCCTGCCCGCCTCTCCCCTCTCCAGTACACTCTTCACTTTGAAAAGTGAAAGAAAAATTCTTTCATTGTTTACAATCACACACACACACCACGGTCCACTCCACTATGCAGACTTCATTCTGGACTCCTGTCATGACAATCATACCGAATCATATATCCCTTTTAAAAAGTTTCCTCCCTCATCTGTTTCAAGGCAGTATACATTATTTATCCCATCTTTCTCAGTCTCCCCCCAACCCCGATGTCAGTCCTGTTTTACAACAGTGGCACTATGCAGTATTTGTCCCTTTGTGACTGAGATATTTCACTCAGCATTATGTCCTCTAGGGTCACCCATGTAGTTATCTGTATGGTACAATGGACAATATTAATGGGGACAGTTTCCCTTCACAAAGAGGGGAGAAGTCAGGCTTGACAACCCTCATGTTGTATCAGCTCCTTTCACACGTTTTTTATTACATTGGTTAAGATTTGATTTGTGATATTGAATATTGTGAGAACATACATCCTCGTTTTCTTCCTTAATCTTGGAGGTAATGATCTAAGTCTTTCATCATTAAATGTGTTGTACTCTCAATTGGTTGCTAATGTCAGTTGTCTCTTTGAAGATATTTTCTTTCTTTCCTAGATCTCTCAGTTTTTAATAATCAATAAGTGTTGACTTCTTGACTGAGAGTTACTTTCAGGCTTCTTGGGATTTAGCTACATGTTCTAAAGATCAATTGTGATGTCTCTTATCAAAGGGAAGAATGACAGCTTTGGGCTTTAACTAGTTGAGAGAATTTTAGGGAGACTCTGGATAAAGAACAGGTGAGATGAGATACATACTCTGAGATGTCTACTGGTAATTAAGACAGGCCTTGGGGAAAGATCATTTGCTGTTGAGAAGCACCAACTGCTGAGATTTCAAGTTTTCTCATTAAACAAAAAACTTTCAAAATATCTAAAACTTAATTGGCCAAATATAAGAGGAAAACTAAAAGTTTCTTTTCCTCATTCCAGACTGATTGCTCAGGGACTCCCTGAACTGACTAATTAAGAACAGACACCTCAGTGACGAACCTCCAGAGGAAAGACCTTCACCTCCTCATAGCAGTGATATTTCTGGACTTTTTCCTGAACTCCTCTTTGAGGACTGTTTCCTAATTCACCTCTGACCTCTGCACATGGCCAGCTCCAGACACAAAGGAAGTGACTTCAGTTGAGTCCTGACGAGCATCGCGGGGGAAGTGAAGTCGGCACAGAGGTGAGCTTCTTCTGAGCCCTCCACTCTTTAGTAGAGAAAGGTGAACATCAGCCTCAAGTGTGTGGGCTTGGGTCCTTCTAGGATGAGGACAAGAGCCTGAGAAATGACCCAGAGACGACAGCTCACACCTAAGTCACTCCTGTTCAGCAGAAGGCAGGTCAGCTCTTCTCTGTTCAACCCAGAGTGTGAACAGCTAAAGTTCTTGCTTGTTTTGTGACAAGGAGACCTCTGCATCCTCCCAGTAATTCTTTCCTTGAAGGTTGTTTGTCTTTCAGTAAAACTATCACAGTGAAAATGATTTCATTTCATTTCATGTTTCCAGAGCTATGACTTGTTGATACAGGAAGGGAAACCCAAAAAAGCAAGGTCAAAGGGATATCACAGAATTGACCCTGGACATGATCAAATATCATTATATTGTCCATCTATTAACTCATTCACCTATCACTCTGTCCATCTGTGCATCTATCCTTTCATCCATCCATCCATCCATCCATCCATCCATCCATCCATCCATCCATTCAAGCATCCAACATCATGGAATTATTATTATTGTAACATCACAGATAATTAATAAGCCGAATAAATTTGCTATCCTTGTTTCTTGTTTTATTTACCATGACTTCTTTATTTTCCATGACTTCTGCACTAACATCTCATATATTTAAATTTCCTGTCTTGTATGTAGTTCACTGTTGAGGTACACATAAAGGATAGAGGTCTGACTTGGGGAGTGTCACTGAGCAATATTTACGAACTGTCACAGCTTCCATTGCCAGCTATGGGAGATCATTCAGTAAGTTGAAAAGAATGCTTTCCTATTTGAGACCCACCATGGCTCAAGGAGGATTGTGTGATTTTGCTCTGTTGAATGTAGAAGGAGGAGACATTAGAAAATGACTAAGCGCATTATGAAACAATTTCATCACTGAAAGCAAGAGAGATACACTTGCCATTTATAGGTATAGTGTCGTCATGTGTTAAGCAAAGATAAGAAGCCTAGCTAGCAGTCTTTAGTTGATATTTTGGTCAAATAATCTAAAGAATGGGTGTGAGTAGTTTGGACAGGGGCACAATGACAACACTTGCCATTGATGCTATTTTGCTTACATCCACCTCTCGTCTAGCTTCCATCACCTCTTTGAAGGTAAATTCCACAATTTGGGGATGTCTTGTACATTTTGTTCATAGTTACATGTGTCTCATGTAAAATGAAAGAATGGGATAAACAAGCATATATCAAAATATCTGGTGTTAAAAGGGAGGTTCATTCACTCTCTCATTGTCATCAAGTCAGAACCGAACCATAGCTCCTGCTCCAGTGGGCCCCCAAGGCTGTAAATCTCAGAGGAAATGGATCGCTCTTCTCCCGCGGAGTCACTGGTGGATCTGAACCATCATACGTGTGCGGTGTTTAGATTAGTAACCCAACTCCCCACAGATTCACCACCCAAACTCCCTATGAAGAAGCCTAAAGACCCAGAGTGAGTGTATTTTTCCTCTTGTGCCTGATTAGGGAGGGTGCCCTTGAAAGGTGGCACGTGAGTGAAGATAGTCTGGAGGACCAAGGGTCCCACATATCCTAAGCGACTGTGATCTCAGATCTACCCCTTGTCTATCCAGGTGTCATCTTTCCTTCATGCAGCAGAGTTGGAGTCAGAACTCTGGAGGGAAAATGCAATGAGGGAAAAATGGCCCCAGACTTTTCTGTAATGGTAATACCTGAAAAAGTTAGCAACCCATTTGAAATCCTTGCTTTCCTACAACATGAAGGTTTTCAAATATGAAAAACACAGAGGTGCTGATCTTGGATCCCCGATCTTTTGTGCTGTCCCCAGTTTAGGTACACACTTGGAAGGAGAAAGACTGGAGTTCAAAGTTAAAACTTTGATTCAAGGCTTTGAACCAAAGTTGAAAGCTCTGAACATCATTGCCACCGTAACAGTGGAAGGTCATTGTGTCATCTGATGAAGAGATGGCTTTGTTCCTATCAATCTAAGAAGAAATAGAGCAATCCTAGAATCAGGGAGAACTCTGTAACTCAGCTCTTCTAAACTAACTACTTTAAGGGTCTTAGTCCCTGTGAGAAGGCTCATGCATTTAGGAAAAGTTGAAGAAGAATCCCTCCCACTAACAGTAAGGAAGGAGTGTCCACCTATCCCAGCAACCCATCTGAGCTAAACTGGAGTCAGATGTATCATAGGTACAGAATGGTTTAACTAGTTTAGCCCAAGCATGAGAAATGGTTGAATTCCAAATAGTACAACTAGTCAATGTATCCCATTGCACAGTCTCTTAGCTTCAGTTAGCAGAGAAATCAGATTGGAGGTTTGAGCCGACCCAGAGATGCCTCAGAAGAAAGACCTGTTGGTCTACTTCTAAATAACAAGCCACTGAAGTGCCTATGAGCATAGTTCTGCTCTGACATGTCATGAAGCAGAATTGACTTGCCAGCAGCTGGTACTGACATGTGTATGGTAGTGGGGGTTCTCACCTGATTCTAAGTTTGGAACTTGTCTTCTCCTCTTTTGAGAGTCTCACCATGTAGATCAGTGTTGCCTCTCTTTGATCTCTAGGATTCACCGTAACGGAGCAAAGACTAAATGATGGGAAACCGTTCTAGTGCCACAGAATTCTGCCTTCTAGGCTTCAGTGGGTCCAAAGAACTACACCATTTCCTTTTTACCATATTCTTGCTCTTTTACACGGTGACCATAATAGGAAACTCCGTCATCATCTCGATTGTCTGTGTTGATAAGCGTCTACACTCCCCCATGTACTTCTTCCTTGGCCATCTCTCTGTCCTAGAGAGCATGACCACAACTTCTATCGTCCCACTGATGCTCTGGGGTCTCCTCCTTCCTGGGACACAGACCATTTCACTAGCTGCCTGTGTGGCTCAGCTCTTCTTGTACTTGGCTGTTGGGACCACCGAGTTTGCAATACTAGGAGTGATGGCTGTGGATCGATACGTGGCTGTCTGCAACCCTCTGAGATACAACATCATCATGAACAGCACCACCTGCATCTGGGTGGCGACCGCGTCATGGGTGTTTGGGTTCTTTTCTGAAATCTGGCCCGTATACGCCACATTTAAGTTGACATTCTGCAAATCCAATGTGTTAGATCATTTTCTCTGTGACAGGGGACAATTGCTGAAACTGTCCTGTGATGATACTCTGTTTACTGAGTTCGTCCTCTTCCTGATGGCAGTTGTCATTATTATTGGGTCTCTGATCCCTACAGTCATCTCGTACACCTACATCATCTCCACCATCCTCAGGATCCCCTCAGCCTCTGGACGGAGGAAAGCCTTCTCCACCTGCGCCTCCCACTTCATCTTTGTTGTCATTGGCTACGGCACCTGTTTCTTCCTCTATGTGAAACCCAAGCAAACACAGGCAGCAGAGTACAACAAGGTTGTTTCTCTACTGATTTCTGTGGTAACCCCTTTGCTGAATCCCTTCATCTTCACCCTCAGGAATGACAAAGTCAAGGAAGCCCTTCAAGATGGGGTGAAACGCTGCTTCCATCACCTCAAAGACTGAGCCAGTTTCAGGTAGAATGGTCTTCATTGTGGAGTATTCCATTCTCTGGACATCCTAAGTCCCTCCTGTCATTTACATCATTGCAAAAATCAAATCATGCTGTAAATCCAGCCAGATCTTTGAAGTAGTGAGAGCAGGCCAGAAGAGAGGCTGTCCTCTGACCACGAGAAGCTCACAGCCTTCTTTTCAGCTCATGATCACAGTTGAACTCAGGAAACGTGTCCCAGTGCTAAGGGAGGAATGGAAGGAAAGACACATGTGATTATGGGTAGTACTTATATTAGACCAATTAATGCCCTGATCACCATCTCTCTGAACGTGTATTTTCTGCAGAGTCAAGAGCCTGAAGGGAGGGTGTGAGCTAGTGCAGGGTCAGAGCGCTCACTCAGCTCCTTAATCAGCCATTGCTGGACCATTTCTGAATTCTGCCGTTTCTTGGCCAAGTGTCCATGTGAACTTAGAAATCTCCTCTTTTCTTGGCTGCATGCCATATCATCATGACTCATAGTAACTGGTGACATGTATTTCTTGGGTATAATTTGCCACAGAATCAGTGTAAATATGCATATGCGTATGTGTATGTGTGTGCGTGTATGCATGTGAATGTGTGTGTGTGTTAGCTACACACAATGTAGCCTACTTTTAACTGAGATTGTACTGTTAGTGATTGTACTCCAAAGTGATTTATACACTTTAGTGGAATGAGATGGAGTGCTTATAGATTTTTAGTGGATGTTTTGTTGTTGTTAAGTATTGTCAAGTCAGAACAGACCCACAGCTGACCCTCTGGTGGGTTTTCAGAGGCAATAAATCACACGGGAGGAGATGATCAATCCTTCTGCGGAGCAGCTGGTGGATATGAACCACGTGCCTTCAGGACTGAGCACAACTTCTTACCACTAAGCCACCAGAGCTCCCAGAATTGTTACAATGTACCACATTTTCTACAAAGAGAATCATCAATGTATTACATGACAAAGAAAATGAGTCCCTGAACTTGTTTAGCAATTAATGAAAAATTCTGTTGGTCCCATAATTAAAAATGTTCTCACAATAATTTTTCTTTAAATGACTCTTACTTCAATTTTTGAAATTTCTCATATGTAATTGATCTGACTCTTATGCAGGTGAAATACATGTGTATAGTCTGCATTTACGTTTCTTTTAAAAGTATTTGCAAATAATAAATCATTCATTTTGGAGCTGCCATTAGGGCTTAGCAAGTTCTCTTTTTATCTTCTGTGAGCTTTCGTTTTTCTGTTCCACTCAGTTGTCGCCACCTACTTCTGTTGTTGTGCCACTGATGCCACTTTAACTCATATTGACCCAAAGAACAGAAGATCGAAAACTTGTCTCATCCTGGGTCACCCTCATGACCTGTGCCGTGCTCAAGGCATTGATGTAGTCACTGTGCCAAAAATCTCAATTTGGCTCTACTACCTTACTAAAGAAATCGGAATAATTAAAAATAAATAAAATCTATGAAACACATTTTAAATTAAAAAAATTTAAATTTAAATGGGCGCATTCTTGTTTTACGTACCTTCATATGTGACTCATAGTGACCCAATATACAATAGCCCTGAAACCTACTCTATCCTGTGCCAACCTTATTGTCTCTAAAACACCCAACCCCATTACTGCAGTCACTGAGTCAATCCATCTCACCCAGGGTCTTCCCCTCCTGCGCCGTCCCTCCACCCTCCCAAGCATGATGTTCTTCTCCAAGGACTGGTCTCTCCTTGCAACATGTCCAAAGTATGTCAGACAGAGCTTCAGAATCCTTGCCTCCAAGGAGCAGCCCAGTTTCACCTTCTCCAGGACAAACCTGTTTGTTCTCCTAGCAGTCCATGGTATTTTCAACACTCTTCTCCAGCACCACAGCTAAAAGGCATCGATTCTCGTTCTATCATCCCTAGTCATTGTCCAGTTTTCTAATGCATAGCAAGTAATTGCAAAGACTATAGTCTGGATCAGGCGCACCTTAGTCTCTAGATTGACATGGTTGCTCTTAAGCACTCTGGAGAGATCCTGGACAGTAGACTTTTCCAATGCAATTTGTCTTTGGTCTTCTGACTACTGATACCAGGAGTGTTGATTGTAGAGACAAGCAAACTAAAGCTTTTAACAATCTCAGTCTCTTCATTTTCTATCATAATACTGCCAATCAGCCCAGCGGTGGGAATCTTTGTTTTCTTGATACTGAGCTTCTATCCTATTTTGAAGACTACAGTCCTTGACCTTATGCAGCAAGTGCTTCAGCTCCTCAGTTTCAGCAAGCAGGGTTGTGTCATCTGCATAACACAGATTGTTGATTAGTCTACCTCCAATACTGATGCCACACTTCTCCTTACATAGCCCAGTCTCCAGATGATCTGTTCTGCATTTGCATTGAAAAGATATGGAGATAGGACACATCCCTGGCATACACCCTTCCCAATTTTGAACCATGCAGTGTTTTCTTGCTCTGTTCTGATGACTGCCTCTTGGTCCAAGTATAAGTTTTGTGTAAGCACGATCATGTGTTCTGGGATTCACATTCTTCTCAGAGTCAGCCACAGTTTGTTATGATCCACACAGTCAAATGCCTTTTTCATAGTCAATGAAACACAGACATTCCTCTGGTGCACCCTGCTTTGCTGTTCTTGAGCCCATTGTGTCCAGGGAACTGTGTGCAAAAACCAAACTCACTGCCAAGGAGTCAATTGTGACTCCTAGTGACCGAGTGGACAGAGTAGAACTGCCCCATAGTGTCTCCAGGGCTGTAACGCTTCCGGACAGCCTGGCTGATCTTTTCACCTTTTCTTAGCTGGTCCACATGGATGCTAACATGCGAGGTAGACCCTCACCCTGCGGTTCTTGTTCCCAGTACATGCAGTCTGGCCTGGAAGAAGCTTTCTGGGTTTGGTGTTTTTTGTTGTGTTGGGGTTTGTTTTTTTGTTGTTGTTTTTTTTAATCCCCCCCTGCTCCCATAACACTAATTTGCCTTCTGTGGGTTTCAAGGCCGTGCCTGTTCACAGTTCAAAGCAGACTTTCCCACAAAATCCCCCATGCATACAAATGCTTTCTTAATTTCCCTGGACTTCCAGGCCATTCCTTCCACATGGTCAGCACTAAGCACCATTCTTCTGTGATGAGTCATCAAGTTTTAAGTCTTTTCCATTCTTTGCCACTCCATAAAAGCTAAGGCACCCTCTTCCATAATCAAGGCAAGCTTGAATTAACTTGGTTCTTGTTCTCCTTGACATTTGTCTTCTCATGACCTTCTCTGAACCATGCAGTGTTTCCCTCCTCTGTTCTGAGGATTGCCTCCTGATCCAAGCATAGGCTTTGCATAAGCCCAATCAAGTGTTCTGTGGTTCCCATTCTCAAGGTTAACCACAATATGTTGTGATCTGCACAGTCAAATGCATAGGGCAAGACATCACAGAAGTGACTTGTGGCCTAAGCCATCATATCAAAGGGTTGCTGGGGGAGGGGGGTGATGGATGGGGTAGAGGGAGTGACACTGATGATAATATTCAGGGAATAGTAAGAGACAAGACATACATGCAGGAGGATGGCACTACATGTATGGTTATCTCTGTAAGGAGAAGCATCTTTCATTTGCTCCTTTCACTAAAATGCTTATCTGTCAGCTTTTGTTCCAAAGCTAAGCATCCAAATGAAGAAAGACCAGAAAGAAGGACTGGCCATCCACTTCCAAAATATAACAGGCATTCTAAAGCCCTATGTACAATACAGCAT